GCTTCCCTTCCTGCCTGCTGTGAGCAGACAGCAGGCGGACATTCAGTGGATTCTGAGTCACGACACTCGCCACCCAAGGAATCAAGCACCCTCACTTTATCCCACTTGCCTCCTCCTCATCTTTAAAATGTTCTGGAGCCTTGTGCTCGTCCAATCTGGGTTTGGTCCAGCACCCCATAAGGTCCATGAGACCCGCCAAGAGTGATTCCTGAGCATAACCCCCTAGCACTGCCCCGCCCGCCCGCCCAAAGTGTTTGGTTTTTCTTCCCGCCAAAGCCAGGGGGAAGAAAACCAATTATAACAAAAACACATTTCAGGGCTGGAGCGACAGTACAGCGGGGAGGGCGTCTTGTCTTGAGGGCGACTGACTCAAGTTTAATCCCTGGCATCCTGTAGGGGCCCCTGAACACCACCAGGAATGATCCCTGAGCACAGAGTCAGGGGTAGGCTCTGAGTGCCACTGGGTGTGGCAAAAATAAAACTCACATTTCAGAGAACTTCCCTTACCTCAGACTGTTTGTCTATGAATTCCAAAATGAAGTGAACGGCTTCTTGATCAGATGGGGACAGCCCTGCAAAGGGAGGCACTAGGCTGGTCGGAGTGGATGGAGTGGGTAGGGGGAGGCCCTGCTCTCTGCCAGAAAGACCTTGAGACCAGCCTTGCCTGGCGGGCCCCCCACCCCAGGTCCAGACCCTCCACTGGCCAGAGCCCCCCAAGCCCAAGTAGAAAGGCAATGTGGGGAGGGAGGCGGGAGGGACACTTAGGAGAGTTTCTGAGTTGCTACCTAGGGTATGAGGAGCAAGGGAAAGAATACCTGGAAAGAGAGACACCCCCATCTGGGATCAGATTGATTGCATTGCCCTGGGAAGAGCTCTGAACTTCCTGAATGTGAATGAACAGGCTTGAGACCCCAAACCAGCCCAGGACTCCCTATCCATGGGGAATCCCAGAGCAGGGCTCAGGTATAGGCAGAGACAGGGGCAAGGCTGACAACAGATGAGCCCACCCATGGGGAGGGAAGGGACATGGCAAGAAACGGTGGCAGGTGGTACTGGGATCTGTGGCCACCCGGTGGTCGATCACCCTTTGTCATCGAACTGTACATGGCAGAACTTGGGGGGAGTGGGGTGCTGGGAAGATGGGTGGGGGACATGTTCTGCCTGAGGGTGGAGCCCCTCAGCGAGTTCAACCCTCCCTCAGGGCCTTTCCCCATGAATGCAGGGAAGGTGCCATTTTTGAGTGAATCACACTTTCTGCCTTGGTTTAATTGTTAGGGGGCCACTCCCAAGTGTACTCCAATGCCACCAGGGCCACGCCAGAGGCCCTGGATGTGGGGCTGGTGTTTGGTGCGAGACTGGACCCGAGACCTTGCATATGGGTGGTGTTTTGTCATTTGAGTCATGCCCCCAGCCCCCAGAACTGTCCTCTTCACCTGGAGATGATTTTCAGGGAGTCCATCGTTTGGAGGTTTCTAGAATATGAAAACACTAATTCAAAAAGATAGGTGCATTCACAGCATCATGGGATCAACCTCATTGCCCATTGACAGAGGGCGGGATGAAGGAATGGGCCCATTTACTACTCTATGGAATACTACTCAGCCATTAAAAAGGAGAAAATGGTCAGAAAGTGCTAATACCAGGATTAAGGTGTTTGCTTTGCACACAGTCGATCCCTATTCGATCCCTGGCACCACGTATGATCCATACAACCAGGCGTGACTCCTGAACACAGATTAGTTGGGACCATGGTGTGTGTGTGAGAAACAGAAAGAAAGGGAGAGGGTTTGGTGGGGGGGAGAGAGGGAGAGAAAGGAAGAGGAATTTACAAGACTTTGTCCCTGAGAAAAGAGAAGGGTTGAGGGACAGTTCCTGGGGTTGAACAGGCTTGAGACCCCAAACCAGCCCAGGACTCCCTATCCATGGGGAATCCCGGAGCAGGGCTCAGGTATAGGCAGAGACAGGGGCAAGGCTGAGAACAGAAGGGCCCACCCTCAGCAGGTTTAGGCTGAGGGTAAAATTAGGAGTCTGGCTTGAAGCATGCTACACCTCAGGTGTCCGCTAGGCATGGACATAGAGGATAAAGAGAGGGGCTCGGGGCTAGGAACAGGAAGGGACAGCACAGTGAGAGTCTTGAGGCACAGACACACTGGGGGTGGGGGAGGGGTGGGGGGTGGGTCTTGCTCTGACTCCTCCGAGCGGCTGTCGGCCCCTTTGGGTTAACAAAGCCCTGGCAAGGTCCCGTTGCCTCTGTCGAGATGTGTCTGGAAAAACAGCTGTGAGGTGCCCAGCCAGCAGCAGGCAGACTGGTGCCAACCTACAGACACTGGTGCCACTGGGCAGCTCCTGCCTGTCCCGAGCCGCCTTGGGGAGCCGAGAAAGAGTCCCCTGCCCGAGGAGCCACACTCACCTGTCAAGTCAGGCCCATGAAAGTTGGCGAAGGTTACGTGAGGTTTTGCTTTGTTGGAAGACTTCGGATTCTTCAGCATGTCCGGGAGACAGTGGCCAGGCCGTGCCTGGGGGGCTCCTTCTGAGAGGCGAGGCTGCAGGGGACAGCCGTGGCCATTGATGGGCCAGAGCATGGGTCGTGCAGCCCCCCCACCCGGGGTCTCTGCCCGCTTCACCCTCGCCTGCCTGGGGGACGGCCACGGGGTGGAGCTCAGACTCCCGGGCGAGGGGGCCCGCTGCCCCACCGGCTTGCCACAAAAATACCCTTTGTACCCCCGGTCCTCGGTCCACACCCCCAGGTCTCAATCCCATTCCGCCCTGTGGCCAGGAAAGCGAAGGCCCAGCCCCCGTCCCCAAAGTCTGCCCCTTCTAGACACTCCCCAGAGCTACCTACTTAGGGACAGGAAGAAATTCCCGCCTGACCTGCTGGACTCAGTGGCCAGCCCCGGGGGCCCCACACCAGGTGTCCCATTTCTGGGGCGCTCAGGAGAACCTCACTGCCGGCAGCACCCCATCTTCTCTGGTGTCGCCCTCCTGCCAATGAGTCCCATGTGTCCAGCGGGGAGGCGCTGCCCCTGTGGACAGGCTGCTCCTTAGGAACTTGATGAAGGGCTGCCTGTGCCTAATTCATCACAATCGTCTGGAATGCAGAACCAAGGGCCCCATTATCCATAGTTCAGTTCAGCAGATGCTCGGGTCTGAGGCCAGAAGCAGCCCCTACTTCTCCAGAGCCCCCCGATGAATGTCTTCCCCGCCCCCAGCCCTCTCTACCCAAGGGGGAGTGGGTCAGCGCCCCTGCTGCAGGCAGAGTTCCCGGGCAGGGCCAGAGGCCCCAAGCCCATCTGACTCTCACCCGCTTCCTTTGTTGCCGAGGGAGGGAGACACACCACACGCCTCGGAGCCCAGGTACAGGCCAGTGGGTCCACTGGACTGCCAGGCCCAATTCTGAACTGGGGGACTCTCCCGCCCCCACCATCCTTGGGTGGAGGGGCCCTGTGAGCACCCAATGGCGAGCTGGAAGTGGGGTGCTGCTCACTATCAGGGCTGGCCTCTGAGGAAGCAGACTCACCACACCCACCCCAAAGTCCCAGCTGGGCGGGGGACAAGACTCAGACACGGGAGAGCTAAGCCCACAAAATGCCACACGGGAGTGAGCCTGGACCCGGCCAGTCCCACAGACAGACTTTATTGAAGGGTTTGACACATGGACCCGCAGTCCCAGCCCCGGGCCAAGGGTAGTCACTTTGCAACTGTGGGGCCAGGACCAATAAGTTAATACAAAGGATGCTCGGTTGTGGGGGCAGGGGGTGGTGCTTGGGCAGCTCCCGGCTCAGCCCAAGGAGCTACGGGCTCCCCAGTGGACACTGGGGAGGGGACACAGGGGAAGGAGCTTAGTGACAAACTGCCCACAATCAGCAACCCACAGAGGGCATTCAACTGTAACGGGGCGGGGGGACCCCAATGTGGGGGCTGTAGCATATGGTGTGTGTGGGGGGAGGGGTTGCAGACAGACGCTTCTCCACGCTCCTGTCACCTCCCCGAGTCCTCTCCTGCCTGTGCCCGAGGCTGTCTCACAGGAACTGCCTCTCAGGGGTCAGGTGGGGACTGTGGTCTGGCCCCAAGGCACGCCTCTAGAGGGGCACAGAGTTGCCGGGCAAATTCCCAGCTCAGCTCCCTGCAGTCCTGTCTTGCCTCACCCTGGCGGTGGTCCTCTCCTTGAAGGGGGTCCCCTTGGGGTTCTGAGGCAGCAGAACCGCCCCAGGCTCTGCCCCGAGCAAGACCCGTCCCCCCTCCCTCCTGGACTAGGCCCTTCCAGGGATTTCGCCTTTCAGAGTCCTGGGGAGTTGGAAGCCGCAAACTGCACCCTCTCCCCTTGGAACAAAAGTGGAGCCGGCAGAAGATGACGATGAAGACAATGACGAAGGATGATGAAGATGATGAAGGATTTCTAGGCAATGGGGAAGCCAGGACTTTAAGCCTGAAGGCCCAGCGAAGTGGCCAAAGGGGAGCTGCCCTGCAGCCGCCCTCACACTGAGCTGGCCTCTGTCTAGGCCTCCAGCACTACAGTGGGCAGGCAGGCAGAGGTCAGTCGCTGCTGGAGCTCCCAGTGTGGATTGGGTGGGAACCAGAGGCCAGGCCCCCCCACCTGCCACCAACGCTTCTGGTCGTGCATCACAGAGCACACAGCAAATGCTCCCGAGCAGGGGAATGGGGGTGGCGAGGGCCGAGGCTGGGCCAGCCTCCAGGGGCTACAGGTTGTTGGGGGGGAGGGGAGCGGGGTGCCTCTCAGAAGCAGAGGCTGGGACTCCACGTCCTGCAGCCTCCGCCCTGGCTAGGCAGGGAGGGTCTCAGGCCCATTTCATACTGCAGGACCCTGGGGAGAGGTCGCAGATGAGAAGTCCAGGATGCCTGAACAAAAACTAGTAAAAAACAAAACAAAAAAAGTAACAATGAAAAAAATCTTGACTCCAGGTGATCGGCCTGCGACAGGGGTGTGGGAGTCGAGGAAGGCACGTGGGGTGGGGGTGTCAGCCCCCCAGCTGAGTCTTTGCAGGTAGGTGGGGCCTGGCCACGGTCACACCTGGCTGATGATCTCTCCGTTCTCAGGCACGAAGACCTGCACCGGGGCGCCGTCAGGCGATCGCCGCAGCACACACACGGCCGGCACCTGCCAGGTCAGGCAAGGGACAGGTGGGTTAACAGGTGGGAGAGCCCAGACTGGGCAGAGACTGGATAGGGCCCCGGGGGAGGGGGAAAGTCCATGGAACCGCGGTCCCATCTCCACCATGGCCTAGGGTCATTCCCTGAGCTGGATGTGACCCCAGACCCCAGTAAATCAAGGAAAATACCCAGACAAGCGCCATGACATCACCCCCCTCCCTTTGGGGTAGTGGGCCCTGCCACCCCAGAGACTGTCTGCTGGGGGCCCCCCTCACATTCCACTCCCTCTCTCCCCGACCCGCCTTCCCCTCTCCCGCCTGGCTTCTCACCCCTTCCCTGTCTGGCAGGTTGGGGTGGGCGGGGGCTGGGCCAAGGGCAAGTCGCAGCTCGCAGGAAGGGGAAATCATGTCAGCAGAGGGTGCTGCCAGGCTGTTGCCCGGGGGTGGACGGGCAGCTAGGTCTACTGCGAACCCAGGTTTCCAAGGAGTAGCAGGGCGGGGTACAGCCCTGGACAACCCGGGACCCAGGAGGAAGTGGGCGTAGACAGCAGGCCTGCTGCAGACCCCCGGAGCTGCACCCCAGCCCAGGCTCTGGACACCCCACATTAGGAAGCACTTCTGGGAGTCACTGGAACCACTCACACACACCCCAAACTTGGCTCTTCACAACTGACAAAGGAGTAGGAGGCTCAGGGAGCTCCTTCGCCTGCCAGATCCAATCAGTTCCTGAGGGACAGGAAAGAGATTCTCGCCCAGGTGAGCCAAGCTCGGGGATGGGGCCCCTTGCCAGATGCTGCTGAGTCCCGGTACACTGGGTGCCCGAGAGGGGGCCGGGGGTGTGGCTCAGGAGACAGAGTGCATACCTTGACTGTGTGGTGGCCCTGGATCTGACTGACCCCTGGCAGCCAGCATGACCCCCCCTGAACCCTACAATGGGTAGTCCCCAAGTGGGTCCTGACTAAAAAGGGGGTCAGGGGTCAGAGCAATAGTACTGTGGTAGGGCGTTTGCCTTGCACGCTGCCAACCCGGGTTTAATCTCTGGCATCCCATATGGTACCCCAAGCACCACCAAGAGTAATTACTGAGCGCAGAGCCAGGAGTAACCCCTGAGCATCACTGGGTGTGACCCAAAAAGCAAAAAAAAAAAAAAAAAAAAAGGTGGGGGGTCAGAGAAGGCATGAGCAGGCCAGTGGGCCTGGCCTTCGGCAAACTCAGCCCCTCCTTCCTGGGCCCCCAAGTCAGACAACTTGGATTGAAGGTTTTTGTTTGGGGGCCACACCCAGCAAAGCTGAGGGGCTACTCTTGGCCTTGTGCTCAGGGGACCATATGGGCTGCTGGGGGTCGAACACGGTGTTGGTCGGTTGCAAGGCAAGTGCCCCTCCCTACTGTACTATCACTCCAGCCCCTGGATTGAACCTGGAGTGATGCAAAGAGGAGCATCTGTGCTAAGGAGCATCTGAGAAGCCGTGTGGGGGATGGGAACAGGAAACAGCTGGGCTAGCCGGGACCATCCAGGCTGTCAGTGTCAGCCAGGAGTCAGACAGGGCTGGTGGTGGTCAGGGGAGACAGAGGAAAGGGAGTTTGCTCCTGTTCCTCCTTGGCAGAGGCCGGGTCTCTGGTCAGCTGCAGGAAACCTCTCTGCCCTTGGCCCTACCTAGCGGGAAAACGCAGAGCCCCTGCCTGCAGCCATACCTGTGCGCGGGGTCCCAGGGCTCGCCCGGGCGGCAGGCTCCGCACGCGGAAGGCCCCTTGGCGGTCCAGCGAGTGTGGCCGGGCGCTCCGGAGCCGCGCCCGCTCATGCCAGGACTCGAGCTCCCTGGAGACAGCGGCCTTGCTGAGCCGGGCCGTGGGGGTGTCCTTCAGGGAGGGCGTGCGCCCCAGGCGGCCGGGGGCCGGCACCAGGCGCCGCAAACGCAGGCCCGCAGCCGCCGTGGCCTCCTCGTAGGCCCAGGCCTGGGCGGCGCGGCCCAGCTCCCACTCGCCGGGCGGCAGCAGGTGGCCCTCGGGGGCGGCCACCATCACATAGCGCCCGGCTGGGAGGTATCCAGGGGGCAACAGCAGTTTCGGGGAGTGGCCCCCAGTGGGGCCCCAGGCCCCAGGCTGGCGTGGGTGCTCAGATGGGGACAGGGGCTGCAGGATGGAGATGTCGGGGCTGCTGCTGCCCGGGGAGGTGGGGTGGGAGGCACTGGACACGTCCGAGCCGCTGTCCTCGGAGCAGGTGTGGCAGGTGGGGGGCGGGGGGGGCTTGGTCTGCGGGAAGCAGGACTCGGGCACCGTGACGGTATAATGCGTGGGCCGCCGGCGTGGGAAGGCGCTGCGCCCCCGGCCCTCGGCGCCCGCCCGGAGGAAAGACTCCAGCCTGCGGAGAGGAGGGCAGCAGTGGTGAGGCGGGGAGACCCCAACTCTTGGCGGGGCTTTCCAGCCTCTAGGAGCCTGGGGTCTCACCACCCCACCTTGAAGGGCTTGGTCCAGCCTCCCCCAGACCCACAGCTCAGCCCCATTAACATCTCAGCACTCAAGTCCTGCATCCCAGCCACGCTACCACAGTCCCGATATACGTGGTGGCCTTATGGCCACTGTTTGCAGTCATGGAGAGACTGTGTTCTCTCCTTGGCGGGTGGCAGGTAACCAAGAAGAATGCGGAGTTTGGAAGCAGCTGGAACATGTGCTTTGTAGGAAGGAGCCCTACTATGAATCCCCGGCACTACATGGTCCCCTGAGCACCAGCAGGAACAACCCCTAAGGTCAGAGTCAGAGCATCGCCAGGTATGCCCCCGAATCACTCCAGAACAAAAGTCAAAAACAATAAGGTGGGGGCTGGACTGATAGCACAGAGGGTAGGGCATTTGCCTTGCATGCACCCAACCTAGGTTCGATTCCCAGCATCCCATATAGTCCCCTGAGCACTGCCAGGAGTAATTTCTGAGTGTAAACCAGGAGTAACCCCTGTGCACTGCCGGGTGTGTGACTGCGAAACGAAAAAAAAAAAAACCACGAATACAAAAGCACACTAAGTTTTGTCATTCAGAACAGGAGGTCTAAGGGAATCAAGGCCACCTATCATCCACAGACGGGAGGCGGGGTAGGAGGGGGGACAACTCAGGCTTCCCTCACAAGTCCATCACAACTTTGACCCTGGACCTCCAGAGCTTGGACACTTGAAACTCCCAGAGAAGCCCCCCGCCCACTGAAGGCAGGACTGGATCCCAAGTTGCTGCTTCTGGACTGGCTCTCTCCAAGGGCCTCTGCCCAGGCCCAGGGACCCCGGATCCAGCTATGGTTCAATCCCTCAGCAACTTCTCCAGACATGGGGCTGTGCCTGCCGTGTCGCTAAGGAGCACAGAGCTGTTCCGTACCAAGGCACTGAAGCCTTGAGCACAGGGTGCCCGGCTGTACCGGCCCCCTGCTGTTGACGAGCCAGCTTACACTGGCAGAAGAACCCATCACACATCCACAGGGCCAGCACCAGGCTGTGGGCACCCGCCACCACTGGTCACTAAATGTCTTTCCAAGGCACTCGGGTTCTGCGTCTGCCGTTGCTCTGGCTGCCCAATGCAGCTGTCACCTCAAAGAGAGACGCGGCGTGTTTGTGGGCATTTGTGCACACGTTCAAGTGGTATCACGTCCCAAGAGACAGGACAGGCGGGGTCCCCTCGCAGCTGGGGAAAGCAGCAGCGCCCTGACTTATTTCCACTCCTGGCGGAACGAGAGCCCTCCCTCTCCTCCATTCCCAAGAGCCATGTGCACCGCTTCGTGCTCTGTGCGGGAGGTTTCATGGCCCCAGTGGCCCCTGATGTGATGCTGAAGTGCTTGGTGGGGCGGCAGGGAAAGGAGAGATCCAGGCCTGGGGCACGTAGCACAGTGCCAGTATGACTAGAAACAATCAACAACGACTATAAAACAGAAACACAACCAGGCTATGCCAGAGGCAGCACACCAAGATCCTGTGACCTCACCCTGCACGTCCCCACAAGCTATGGTTCAATCTTGGCCGATTCAGGGCTGGAGAGGCAGTACAGGGGTTAAGGCACTTGACCCCTGTTTTAAAAAAACAAACAATATTGGCTAATTCACCACTGGCTGTGACTTTAAGGAAAGGCAGGTCTGCAAATAATGAGAATCAGCTGCATATGGGTGGAAAATGGAAATTGTCCTTTATCAGGGACTAACAGTAAAACAACTGTGAAAGGATCTACCAGGAGCCAGAGAGACAGCGCACACAGCAGGTACATGCCCTGCCTGTGGCCAACCTGGGCTCAATCCCCAGCACAGCATATGGTCCCACCAGGAGTGATTCCTGAGCAAAGAGTTAAGCGCAAGAGCACAGAGTAAGGAGTAAGCCCCAAGCATGCTGGGTGCAGGGTAGATGGCTTATATGGCAGATACCTCCAGTTCGATCCCTGGGACCACATGGTGCTTCCTACAGTCCCCCAGTACCACCAGACATGGCCCCAGGGAGTCCCCAGACCTGCTGGCTGAACAGTGCCATGCATGACCAGAGTACCCGGGCCCTGGTGCACCCCCAAATCTTCCAGGATACTAGAGACTGTCTGGCCAGAGGAAGAATCTGGGTGCACTAGACAGAGATACAATTGGATAGGAACAGCTTTACAGGTGACAGGTCCCCACCCGACATCCTAGAAGCCATCACCTCCAAACGGAAGCTCCGTTCTTTGGCTCATGGTGGGGGTCTCACCTGGTGGTACTCAGGGGCTGTTCAGGGGTAGCTCAGCAGAGCTGTGGCTCAAACACAAGGCCCCAGGCATACCTGGTTGCTTAGAAGCTGCCTCTCCGCACCCCAGAATGTAAGTTCTCAGCCACAGGTCCCTCTACCCTTGGCCAAGAAGGTGGAGCTGGTGACCCTGGGGGAGACTTTGCCAGCCCAGACTCCTCTGCCCGCCTCTTACCTCAATGACTGTGGTTGGCTCCTCCTGTCCAGCATTTCGGGGGTGGCCGGGGCACTGGTGCGACTGGGCCGCTGGCCAGGGCCATTGCGGACAGGGATCACATGGTAGACGGTGGGTTCAAGCAGCCACAGGTCAGTGGCGCTGGGCCCGTCCTGGGGGGTAGTGACTGGGCTGCTGTGTAAAGATGGAATACGGGTCAGAGGCACGAATGTTGGTAGTCGGGTTCAGAGTGTGGGGGGTGACCCCAAATTAGGGGTGTGCACCTGCCAAAGCTGGCGCCCCGTCTCCCACAGCCAGAGGAGGGGGGTGGCCTCACGCCAGGCCCGGCCCACGGTCACCCCATCCTCCACCTCGCTGCACCCCTCCCGAACCTGGACTCGCTGCTGGGCTCTGAGGACTTCTTGGGCTTCTCGTAGGGGTGGTCCAGGCTGGTCTCCTTCCAGGGGCTGCTCTGAATCGGGGCCCGCTCCAGGGCGCCCGGCTCAGGCCCCGCCGGCTGCAGCCCTTCGAGGTTCTGGGGAGGGACAGGCCGAGAAGGCGGAGCTGGCGACTCTGGGGAAGGTTTTGGCAGACGCGGCTCTTCTGTTGGGGTGAAAGGAACCTGTGAGGGCAGTGGCTGGGGAACCAGCCCAACCAGAACCTCCCTGGCCCGCGCCGGGTACTCCTCCCCATCGGGGCACCAGCTCCCAAATGTCTTCTTCTGGGACACTTGCTCCCTGTTCCCTTTTCATGCCTGCCTCCTTCAGGAAGTCCCCCAGGTTGCTCTCTGTGAGCCCAGAACGAACATTCCTCCCTTCTGACCTCCTAACCCAAAGGCTCCCAAACTGACTGGTTCTACTGCTCCTTTTCCAGAAAAATCCCTCAGGCCCTTATACCCGCCCCCCAAATCTACTTTTATTAATAGACAAATGGAAAGCACCCCCAGTGGCACTCAGGCTATACGGTGACCCCCATCTTTCCAGCGCCGCGGGACTGGGCTGCATCGCCCACTCTGGGAAAGGCCGTTCTGACTTTTGCTCCTGGCACAGTCGGCGGTGCCCTGTGTGCCTGCTTTTCCTGTTCGTCTGTGCCTGCTGCCCTACTTCTGTCTGGGCCGGGGCCCTCCCCCAGGCAGGCCACGCCACCTCCTGGCCCACTTTGAGCCCCCAGCACATCCTGGGGTTGTAAACCAGGCTACGAGCTGCGTGTCTCCATCCCGCCTCCTGTCAGCTCACAAACGACAGTACTGAGCGGCCAGATGGCGCTTTGGCCACCGACAGGTGCCTGCCGAAATCAAGTCCCAGGGCAAAGGCAAAGATGAGGGCTCGGAATTCCTGTCAAGGCAACTGAGCTGCCAGCACGGGAGACAGGTCCCCACAGTCACGGCCCACCCTGGCCCCCGCCTCTGAGCGTGAGTGGGGCACAGAAAGGCAGCAAGGAGGGGCACCCCGACCTCCATCCCCCACTGGCCCCCTTAGCCATCCCCGCCTGATCCCTGGCACAGTGCAGCAGGGACTGTGGCTGCCGCACGTCCTCCCAACCCCCTCTCACCTTCCTCCAGGAGGAGCCCGTCAGACAGCGAGCTGTCGTCAGACGTACTGAGCTCTGGGAAAGCAACGGGGAGAGGAGAGGTGAGTCGACAGGCCCAGAGTCCATGGCGCCAGCAGCACGGGCAGCCCAGGCCAGGGCCGCTCCCTGATAGGACCCCCCCAACCCACTGGGAACAACCGCCACGAGCTCCGTGGGCTATGAACTTTCCACTTGGGAGTAGAGGGGGAAACAACAGGAGTGAAGACACAGGAAACCTGAGTTGTTTTTGTTTTGTTTTACTTTTGGGCCATACTCAGGGGCTACTCCTGGCTCTGGGCTCAGGAGCCATCCCTGGTGATGCTTGGGATTCGAACTGGGGACAGCCATATGCAATTCAAGTGCCATAAGCCTTGTACTCTCTACATCTCCTGCCCCCAGGAAATCTGATTTTAGGTCTGGCTCTGTAGTTAGCTTTGCAATTTTGAATGAGCAATTTTGGTGCTCTGCGCCTTGATTTCCCCATTCATAAAGGTAAAGGTAAAGGCCCTCCCGTTGATCGTCGATTTGCTCGAGCGGGCCCAGTAACGTCTCCATTGGAGACTTTATTGTTACTGTGTCTGGCATATCAAATACTCTCGGTAGCTTGCCGGGCTCTCCGAGAGGGGCGGAGGAATCGAACTCGGGTCGGCCATGTTGGCCGCTTGTAAGGCGAACGCCCTACCCGCTGTGCTATCGCTCCAGCCGTTCATAAACAAAACAAAACAACAACAAACCAAAAAAAAAAAAAAAACCCAGGGTTTCCTCTAATAGTGTTTCCTACTGATGGAAAGAAAGACAACAAGTCATTCTGCAAAGACCTTTGGATGAAAAGTAACTGAGGGACCCCAAATCTTCCTGGGAGATAGCTCAATGCAAAGAGCTGCAGCATGCTTTGCAAGCATGAGGCCCCGGGTTCGGTCCCCAGTTCTGTGTGTTCACCCCTCCCCGCACCATGGGGAGTGACGCCCAAGATTGAGCTAGGAGTAACTCCTGAGCACCGTTGGGTGTGACCCAAATAACAAAACAAAACCCAAAAACATAAATAAAAAGCATCCCAAATTTGGGACAATTGCATTGAGGGCACAGCAGTGGGAATTTCAGCCTAGAGGCATAGAGACCAATTCAAATTAGGATCTGGCAGGCCGGAGAGAAAAAGTTCTTCCACTGGGGATATGGTATGTCCCTGACTCCGCCAGAGGCAACCTGCCTTTGCCACTGCCCCTGGATGTGCTCAAACTTTCAGCTATTGGAGCCAGAGCAATAGCACAGCAGCGAGGGCACTTGTGGTTGACCTGGGTTCAATCCCTGGAATCCCCTATGGTGCCCTGAGCACTGCCAGGAGTGATTTCTGAGTGCAGAGCCAGGAGTTACCCCTGAGCACCGCCAGGTGTGGATCAAAAATAAAACCAAAAAATAACGACAACAACAAAAACCTTTCAGCTCTTGGTCTAAGCCTTGGGTGATCGAGATGGAACCCACAAAGCACTCCTCACTGTGTCGAGAACGGAGTTTCCTAAGTACAGCAACAGTAACCCACGCAACCCTCAAGCTGTCATCAGTCTCATGCAACAGTGGCGGCAACGAGGTTGGCCGGGTAACGGGGTCAGTCCACCAAAAGGGACTGAGTCAGGAGCTACGCCCAGACAGTCTGCCCCGAGTCTGGCTCTTAACCACAACCTTTACCTACTTTCCTGCCAGCGAGCAGCAACCACATAGGTTGTTATCCAGAAAGAGTGAAGGAAGAGAAACAACTCCAGCTATTAGACAATTCTTTAGAAGATGATTGGCAAACTCTAGGCTGGGGTGCCACCCAGTTAGCTCACTGTTTTTTGTTTGTTTTGTGTTTTTTTGGAGGGAGGGGTAGCCCAGCTGTACTCAGGGCTTACTCCTGGTTCTAGGTTCAGGCAACCCTACGTGGGTGCCAAGGACTGAAAGCTGGAGCCATAGCACAGCGGGTAGGGCGTTTGCCCTGCACACGGCTGACCCGGTTCGATTCCCGGCATCCCATATGGTCTCCCGATCTCCCGGGCACCACCACGAGTAATTCCTAAGTGCATGAGCCAGGAGTGACCCCTGTGCATCACGGGGTGACCCAAAAAGCCAAAAAAAAAAAAAAAAGAACTGAACTAAGGTTGGTCAGTGCAAGGTGAATGCCTTAGCCCTTGTACTATCTCTCTGGCCTGGCTGGCAACTTTGATAAATAAAGTTTTATTGAAACACAGCCATGTTGGGAGGGTTGGGAGGGCTACTGGGATCATTGGTGGTGGAGAGTGGGCACTGGTGGAGGGATGGGTAGTCGATCATTGTATAACTGAAACCCAAGCACAATAGTTTGTAAATATACAACTGTACCTCATGGTGTTTCACTAATAAAAAATAAATAAATAAAAATAAAGAAATATAAGAAGTGTTATTTAATCCTTATTTGGGGGCCATACCAGCAGCACTCAGAGGATCATATCGGGTACTGAGGATCAAACCCAGGTCAGCTGAATGCCCTACCCACTGCTCCATCATTCCAGCACCCCTACGGATCTGTTGACATAACATCTGCCCCTTTCTCACTCCAATGGGCCAGTTCAGTGACTGGGACAGAGAACTGATGGCCTTAAACTCACGGCCTCCAAACCTGCCATGTCTATCAATCAGCCCTCTACTGAAATTTGTCAACTTTAGTTCCACCACTAAAATAAAATTCAAAAGCATTACCCAGAGCAGTTCTTAGCCTCGGGGCACACTGCCCAGCGCCGAGGAAGACACACAGTAGCCTTGGTTCATGCTAACCTCTCTGGGGTTCCACTGTGGAGATCTCCTATCTGTCTCCCAAATCTGTCGAACAAAAATTTCTACTTTTCATAAATGTCAAGTTGAAGAGACTAGAAGTCTCAGAATGATGGCCTAGCAATGCAGCTGGGGCTGGAGGCCTGTGCTTGGTTCTGTATACTGGATTGGGGAGAAATTCTCCACCACCCCAGTCCTGATCTTCATTAAAAGCAGCAACTCGAAGTTTCATAGGGGAAAGCATGTAGAGAATGTCACTGTCGGGGCCAGAGCCAAAACATAGCAGGCAGACAGCAATAATATAGCAGTAATATTACACACAACTGACCCAAGCTCAATCCCTGGCACCCCACATGATCCCTTGAGCAAAGAGTGATCCCTGAGCAAAGAGCCAGGAGTAAGCCCTGAGCACTGCTGGGTGTGGTCCCCAAACAAAACAAAGCAAAAATACAAAAATAAGAGCATCATTGTCTTTGCAGAGCTGGGGACGGACACACACACACACACACACACACACACACACACACACACACACACACATCCGAGTGAGGGTATTCACAGACTTGGCCATACTGCCCCAGCCCACCCATCACTCAGCTCACGCTGCCCTGACCCCAGAGTGAAACTGGGGGCGGCACCAGATGAACGCTCTGAGCATCCACAAAGTCCACAGATCAAAGTATTTGAATGAAAATGAAATGAAAAGTCAAGTTTCCTTTAAAGTTTCACACATTCCAGGGACTGGAGAGACAGTACAGAGTGTAGGGTGCTTACTTTGCATGCAGACAACCTGGATTTGATCCCCAGCACCCAACAGGGTCCCCAGAACCCTGCCAGGGGTGATCCCTGAATACTGCCGGGTATAACTGAAACCCAAGCACAAAAGTTTGTAAATATACAAAATGAAGTTGCACAGTCCAAGCTTGGAGAGACACTACAGTGGGTAAGGCGCTTCCTTTGTACACAACTCAGGTTCAATCCCTGGCAACACATATGGTCCCCAAATCCTGCCAGAAGTAAGCGCTGAACACAGAGTCAGGAATAAGCCCTGAGTACCACAGGGTGTGGCTCAAAAGCCCCCCCAAAAAATTGTTTTACATTCCAACTGCCCCCTTTGGCTCTAGGCTCCCATAATCGGATGGAACAGAAATGTCCTGCGCACGTTCTTCCCAGCAGTCTTGCTAAAAGCAGCCCATCGATAAAAACATTCCAAGCAGCTGTCCCAAGATCGCTGTGTACTGAGTTTGACACCTGCCTGGTCCCGCCACCTGCAGCCGATGGGCTAATCACTCTCACCTGGCGTAATTACAGCCCCACTGCAGAAGCCTGTGCAGGGCCAGGGAGTGGGCCATTTCCTCTCTGTCTTTTAGTCTTTTAATTCCAAGCACCTTTAGCGACCAATTATTAATCCCACTCCATTTCCTCCTCCGTGAGAGCACAGCTGGGCAGCGTGGTCACAGAACAGGAAAGACTCGTCCAGGTCATGCTTCCTGCCTCCCGATGGCCCCAGGAAGGAGTCAAGCCCTGCCCGGCCAGGGCCAGCGCATGCCAGTTTGGCACCCAAAGCAGGGCTGCTCTGAAGGGCCAAAGTCAGCCGCCACCCAGGTCTCCCCACTCCTGGATGAGCACCCCAACTCCTGCCCCCATAGCAGGTTCGCCCAAGCCCCAGGCGTGCCCTGACCTATCCCCACCCCCACCCCCCAAGTACCATTAGTGAAAACTGAGGCCACAGTGCGGCTCTTCACACCTGCCCTCGGCCACTGTAGACCTGGAGCAGGGCAGGAGCAGGGTGGAGAGTGCAAGTGAGGGCCCCTCACTTCTCACGATCACAGAGCCCAGAAGCCCCTTGGGACTTTCACACTGGCAGCTGCCATCGAGGGCACACCGAAGCTGGGCACCCTGGGGAGTCAGTGAGGTTGGCCTGCCATGTGGGCTGCAGAAAGTCTAGAGACTCCTCTCCCTGGAAAGGCCTGGGTCACCTGGACTCCACACTGGCATGGGCAAGCGCTTCCTCCCTCGTCCATCCACACTCTGGAGGTGTCCCCTGATCTAAATAGGTTGGTTGGGGACCGGACAGACAGTACAGCAGGGAGGGTGTTTGCCTTGCACGCAGCCCACCCAGGTTCAGTCCCCAGCATCCCATACGGTCCCCAAGCCCTCCAGAGTGCAGAGCCAGGAATAAGTAAGCCCTGAGCATCATTGGTGTGCCCCCACCCCACCCCCAAACAAAACAAAACAAAACAAAATAAAAATAAATAGGTGCTTGTGGGCAGGCCCTAGACATGAGGCCTTGAGTCCTTCCTGACCTGTAGCCGTGGGTCAGAGCTGACCACCTGCCCCGGCACCTCAAGGCCGCATCCCACCCACCCACCTGGGCCGAGGCCCTTGGGGACTGAGTGGAAGCACATCAGGACAGGCTCAGAAGATGAAGGACTTAGGAACTACGGGGTATGGTGGTGATGCCGCTGGAATTCAACCCAAACATGGATGAGCAATTTGGGGGGCCCCATGTTGGGTTATCTGTGGGGGCTGCCCTGGGGGACGGGAGAGGGTGAATCACCCTCAAAGCGTTGGGGTTTGGCTTTTGTTTGGAGCCAAACCCAGAGGTACTCATCCAAGGGTTACTCCCAGCTCAGTGTTGGGGGGTGGGGAGCAGACCTGGGGATGGAACCCTGGCCTCTAGTGTGCTGGGCTTCGCTAAGCTGAGCGGGCTCACGGCCGTAAAGCACCAGTAACCATGAGGCCAGAGCGACAGTATAGTGGTAGGGCATTTGCCTTGCACGCAGCCGACCCTGGTTCGGTTCCCAGCATCCCATATGGTCCTCAGCGCACCGCCAGGAGTAATTTCTGCGTGGAAAGCCAGAAGTAAGCCCCTGTGCATCGCCAAAAAGCCAAAAAAGAGCCAGTAACCAGCCCCTCCGGACAGACTGGGCGCCTCCGACCCTGCTGGGGAAAGCAGTCTGCGTTTGGATGGGAAAGGAGGCAGGGCTGCGGTGCGGGCTCCCCTGGACACATCCAGCGCGCATCTCACCTGGGCCAAGCGCGAAGGCGGGCGCCGGCGGGGGCGCGCTGTTGCGTCTCCGCTCCCCGACTCGCCGCTGCAGCTCCTGCAGTTTGCGCTCCTCCTGCAGGGCCACCTGCTTGCGCTGCCGCCGCGCCTGGCGGCCCACGCTCTGCTCCCCGCACAGCCTGCGCGCCGCCTCGGCGATCTGCTGCTGCAGCGCCAGCTCGCGCTCCAGGCCGCTCAGGGGGTCCTGCATGGGGGAGCGCCGAGTCAGGGGGCCAGGCAGGGCTTCAGGGAGGTGGTGGGCGTCCAGGAAAGCCAGGCAGGGAGGGACCCTGGGGTGCAGGGGTCGCACTTTTCCTCCTGACCCCGAGGCTAGGTCACCCGGTGTTCCTCCCAACTGGTGTTCCTCCCAACTGCCCCGCTGCTGCTTCTTCAGCTCTGGGTACCCGTGGGGGAGAGAGGGGAGAGGGAGGGCGCGCGCAGGGTCTGGGGGCGACCTCCAGACCCTCACCTCTCTGTGCAGTGCCTGCTCATCCAGCTTGTATGCAGCTCCGATGCGGCGACGAACCTTGGGGGCCTTTTCCCCGGGTTTGAAGGGGTACTCTGCAGGCAAGGTGCCTGTCAGCTCCTGCGGGAGAAGCAAGGTCAAGCCAGGCCCCTCCACGTCCCCCCAACCCCTCCCGCCCACCCTTGGGGGCCTGGCAGGGGTATTTCCTCTGCACCTCTCCAGCCTTCCTTTATGCTTCCTCCTGCTCCCCGATTTCAGGGACTCTCCTGGTCCGGGTCAATTCTCAGGCACCCCCATGTCCTCCCTGCCCTGCCCGGTCCCCAGGGTCCTGCCTTCTCCGACTCCCCCGGCCCCGGGTGGGGACTCAGGAGGGGTCCCTTTCTCACCGCCTCCCTCAGGCAGAGTCTCCTCAGCTCCTCCAGGCAGGCCTCCAGCCGCTCCTCCAGGGCCCTCTGCTGCTTGCGTACAGCCTGGGTCAGCTCCTTCATCGGGGACACGGGGCTGTCTGGGCCTGGGGGACCACAAGCAAACACCCAGGGAAACCCTCATTCCGAAACTTGTCTTAGGGGGCTGGGGAGATAGCAGTCAGGAAGGGCGCTTGCCCGGCACACGGCCAACTCTGATCTGATCCCCTTGTGGTCCCCCAAACCCACCGGGTGTGATCCCTGAGCACAGAGCCAGGAGTAAACTCTGAGCACTGCGAGGAGTGGCCCAAATACAAAAAATCATATAAAAGACTTGTTTATCTTAGTTGGGGGAGATGCTCCCCAGCAATATTCATGTCCTCCTGCCAGCTCTGTGCTTGGGAGTGCCCAGGATCAACGCTGGGGCTCCCACATGCAAAGCACGGTGAGTCCATTGAGACATTTCTGCAGCCCCTGGACACTTCCTGACTACCCCTAGGGAACACACATGCTCAAACACGCACACAGGAAAGCGCACACCTGGACACATGTAATGCACACATGCTCACACATGCATGCACACATGACGAGATGCATGCTCACACACATGCATGCACACACGATCACATGCTCATACATGCACATATTTCATACGTATATGCAGACGTGCTCATACAGGCTCAGACATGTGCATACGATTACACACATACATGCACAGACACAGACACAATCACACTCGTACATGCACACATTATTTCACACATACAATCACACATACATGCACACATGATCACACACACATAAAACCTTGTGCCCGCCCGCAGAGTGCAGGCCAGTCACAGCAGCCTGTGTCTGGTGAGAACAGCACTGCCCAGAGGACAGCTGCAGCACTGGGCCGAGGAGGAAAGAGCTGGAAGGCAGCCTGTCCTGCCTTCCTCGGCTCCCCTCCCCTCCCCCCTTCCCGAGCCCCGCCTCCTCTCTTTTCCCCACAAACACCAGACTAGGCAGGGGACCTTCACAATGGCCAGCGTGGACACTGCAAATACCGGTCCAGGTAAGCTGGACTCCGCAATTCAAACGGCTCCAGCAGAGAAAATGGCATCACACCAGGAGGACCCAGCCCTTTCCTGCCGGAGTCTCCCAGCCCCGCCCTCACAGCCCCCAGCCTCAGGCAGCTGAGGAACTGCAGCCAGGCAGGGGGCCCGGGGATTCCCCGCGGTGCTCACCAGACTGCAGGATGATGCCGCTGTCACTGTCGCTGACCTCATCCTTACTCTCCATGGGGACTCTCGGGGAGGCGGACCTGGTGCCCAACCCTGGCTGCGACGCGTACGTGGCCTGACACTCCCCCAGCTGTCGGGAGCAACAACAGAAGCGAGCTGTGAGCCCTGGCTTCCAGGTGGAGCCGGATGCTCAGCATTGGGGAGAGAAGGCTCCGAGGACCCCCTCTCAGCCTCTTGGTGGCTTCTGGGCCCCAGGGGTCGGCCCACGGGCAAAGCTGAGGAGAGCAGGAAGTCGGGTGTGTGGCAGGGTTCAGTTCCTCCAGGGGGAATATCCAAGGACCCGGGAGACAGGTGGTCTGGTCTGCAGCTGGAGAAAAGCTCCCCGAAGCATGGCAGACCCTCAGCAAAGGGTGTGTGGGGGCCCCCTGCAGGCCAGGCTGCCCTTCCGGCTCTTGGGCTCAGGGGTTCCATGGGACATACTGTCAGAGCCCCAGGGACTTTCGGGCCACCAGTGATGCCTGAGATACCCCTCACGGGGAGTGTCTGCTCGTAACCCCTGCATCCCTTGGCCAGGGAAGACCCTGGGCTGTGTGAGAAGGGCACCTGGGGCTGTGCCCCCTAACATGGGAACAACCCGCTCCAACCTCCTGGGGTCCCGGAATTTGGGTGGCCAGGACTTAGCGGGGTAACGGAACACCAGCTGCCCACCCCCTGCCCACCCCCTCTTTCCTTGGGGGACGCCCCCCTCCTCACAGGGTCCCTGAGGCCTGGGCCAGCTGGAGCAGGGGCGGGAAGGGCAGGCGAAGGAGGGAGGCGGTGCCTCCTCTCTGACTCAGCCCCATTGAGCAATAGTCCAAAAGTCTTCCTGAGTTTCTGTCTGGAGCTTATCCTGCTCCTGGGGGCGCAGGGCCGCAGGGAACAGACAGGCCTGCGGCGGGTAGACCTCCAGGGCATGGCTCTGCGTGACCCAGAGCAGGAACAACCTCGCCGGCAGAGCCAGGAAGCCTGGGCAACCACCATGAAACACCAAGCCCCGAAAACAAGTCACGGCTCCGCCGGGTCGGGCTCTCAGGGTCACTGCAAACAGGCTACAGACTGGCCACACACAGGCGTGGGCACTTGGGCACAGGTCCAGACGGAGAGTGCCTCTGCAGGGTGCAGCCCGCCCAAACAGTCGTGCTGCTGGCAGCAAGAACAAGCAGGGGGTGCATGCAGCACCCCCAGACAAGCTAAGAGGCAGGGCGCCCGCAGCTCACCCCAGAACCCGGCTTTGGTCAAGGGGAGGTGGAGGTGTGGGAGGCAGCCTTAATTAGTCACACTTGCTAATTAATTATTAACCACTAAGGGTGGCCACACTTCCCCTGCCTCCAAGGGGCTCCTTGACCTCACTCCAGGGAGGAGAATGGGGCTCAACAAACAGCTCCTCCAGCTCCTGCCCTCCAGGGTTAGGGGACTTGGGTGGGTGGGTAGTCCTCAATGGGAGGCGGGTTGCTGCCAAGTGTAAAGCCGGGAGCAGCCCTGCTTGGGTTCTGCCACCTGCCTGCCCGATCCTTGGGGCTCACCGGTCCCCTCTGGTCCCTTTCCTGGTCTGCACAACCAAGACAATGTCTGAGGCCTTGCCAGCTCCTGGCTCGGAATCGACCTCTTGGACAAAGCCAGTGGAAACAGGTACCCCCACCCCACACCCCATCATGGAATCACAAATCAGCACATTAGTCCTCAATGTGCAGGAACCTGGCGCCCCAACACTGGGGGACAGGCTTCAGCCCATCTCTAACCAGGAGGGCCTGCATCTCTACAGCTGTCCATAAGTTGGGAGAAAGGCCGTCCAGGGAACCCCAAACCCCTTCATGGGGGGCCCCACACCTCCGGATCTCAGCCCCCCACAGGAAACTGCCCACTGGCGGGCACACTGTCCCCAGAAAAAGGCAGAGGGATGAAGGATGTTCCTGCCCATTTTTCTGGTCAATCCTCCTCCCTCACAACTGTGTACCCCAAAAGCCACCGCTGCTGTAGAAACTGGGACTGCAGTGACAAGCTCCCCACCCAGGGCCAGAGGTCGCCTCCTCCCCCTACCTATTGCCTGGTGCCCTGGACGGGTGTGGCAGTGACGGTGACCGGCAGCCCCACTCCCAGGCCAGGCTGCCCCTGGACCCCTTGGCCCAGCCTCCCCTTTGCCACACCCTTACCTGCGTTGAAGGTGGAATCTGGGGTCCGGGAGCCCCTGCTCCCGGCTCAGAGGACCGAGAGGCGTCGCATGTGGCCACCACTGTGTCCCAGCTCCACAGGCTGTGCTCGCCCAGGGCCCTCAGCCCGCCCCGGCCCGCCCCAACACCGCGTCCCTCCCTGGCTGCGGCCCGGCCGGGCCGGGCTGGGGACCTGTCGGGGCTTGTGCAGAGGGAGGAGCAGACGAGCAAGTCCGTCCCTGAACTAATCCCAGGAGGTGTTGCCGACAGGCAGCGCCCGGGCGCCTGGGCCTCAGCACTTCCGGGGCTGTTCAGGGACAGTGAGAAAGGGGGTCCCTGGGAGGAAGTCCTGGAGAAAGCCAGGGGGTCATGTCTTCAAGGACATTGGGAGGGGCCCTTCTCCGGCAGAGGGCCACTGCGCACTGTGCCTCAGTTTCCCTCCCTTCCAAAAGAGCAGGTAGGCAGGGCCGCAGGGGAGGTGTGTGTGTGGGGGGGGGGGGGGCGGGGGGTAGCCCCAGGGGTGCGAGAAAGGGATAAAGGCCTCAGGGGTTCCTTGCACTCAGATTAGAGACCAAGGCTGAGCTTTCTCCCCAAGCCAGATGAAAAGGCCTGGTGCGGGAGACAGCGAGCCTGGAATGCAGGGGGCGGGCCACCGGGCTCCTGCCAGCTTCAAAGATGACCCCCTCCCTGCTTAGGATCTGCCTGTCCCTCAACAGAGTCCACCAAGCACCGACCTGAGCCCCACCCCCACTCCACTGGCAAACCCAGTGATGCAAAGACCCCGAACCCACACCCCCAATCCCAGGGACCAGAGTCCAAAATGGAACCAGTTCCCACCAACAAAACACCGCCTGGGGCGCGCGCCCCGCCCCCAGGACCCCGGGGCTAACTGAAGCCGGCTGGAATTTGACCTTTCCCTCCCAGGAGGGCTCGGCCCCTCACCTGCAGGCATGGGGGTGGGAGAAGGGGGGCGGAGGGGTGGGGGTGCAAGGCAGCAGCCCTCACCTCCCTCCCCCCAAGTCTGATCCTATCCCACCCGCTCAGGCATCGCATCCCCATCTCTCCACTGGTCGCTGCCCGGTTCCCCACTCCCCCCTCCCCCCAACCCTCAGGACTGGAGGGGGCGGAGCGCAGCCCCTCACCCACCAACTGGGACGCAGCAAAGACTGAGCAGAGATCTGGACCCCGCACTCTGTACCCCGATCACCCTCATACACAAACCCAACCCACCTCCACATTCCCCTGCACCGCGCGGGCACACACACCCTTTGCAAACAATGCCAATCTGCGCCCTCCAGCTGCCCACCTCCTCCTCTCCTGGGCTGACGCCAAGGGGCCCCAGCAGGGAGCAGTCCCTGGAAGGGGGAGGGGCTGAGTCTGCTCAGGGTCTCCCGAGGAGCCATCCCAGCCCGGTCCCACAAAGCACCCCAAGGCTCCCCGGCCCTCACAAGAGCCTCCCCTGTGCTGAAGAGGTGGCCACTGGGCCGACAGCTGGCATCTTCCCGCCACCTTGCCCATCAGCCCAGCTGCAAGTTGGAAGAGGTGGTGATGGAAGTTTCTAGAAATAACTCATAGCACTTTAAAAAATAGTCCCCGCAGTGCTTAGTGACCACCATCCTTCACACCTGGGTGAAGGATGTGGTGTGGGGGATGAGGCTACGGGCCTGACACCTGTTTGGCACGGAATCCATCACTGGGGGCCATCTCGGTGGCCTCGGAGTATATATTTGAATGCATACAATACTATTAATTTTTAATGCATACAATGAACTTGGGAGAATCAAGAATCGCTAAGAACAGCAATTTTATTTGCAGGAGACAGGGTCTAGCCGGGAAGTGATGAACCAGGAAATCTGCCAGCCAGGAATTCTACTAACGGGGAGGCTACCACGCTGGTGCAATATGGAGAGGCAGAGGGTTCCCCTCTCCATCAGTTCAGTCCCCCTGGATTCCCTCCACAGGACCCTGCACCCCGAGTTAGGAGCTGAGCTGGGGGCAGGGATGTGCAGCTATTTGCACTTACCCTCTCCCTGGAATTCTCAGGTGCCCCTCTCCCAGGAACCCCAGAGTGTAAGATGTGGAACACAAACCCCATCTCCCAAGGTCCGGGTCCCCTGAACCTAAAGGACTGCCCAGATGTTCCACTCCAAACGCCCAACAAGATCGATGCTCCAGACATGGCCAGGACCAGTCTGAGAGGTCAGGGGCCCAAGGCCCACTGCCCAGTCCCCCACAGCAGGGCCATGTCAGGCGTCCCAGCCCCACCACCCGAGACATCCGAAGGGTCCCAGCCCCACCCCCAGGACATTTCTGGGGTCCCGCGGCCCCACCCTCGACGGCACTTCAGGGGTTCCAGCTTCATCCCCCGGACATCCAAGGGGTCTCAGCCCCACCCCCCAGGGCATCTCTGGGATCCCGGCCCCACCCCTCAGGCAGGGCACCGTCTCCTAGAACCCCCAGCGGGTGAGGAAGTGGGGTTTCCCGCATACCATTGTAACACTTGGAATTTGCTCTCTGGGAAGAGAAACGGCGCGGGTCTTTGGGATTTACAGTTCCCGGGGCGCGCCCAGCCCGGGAGAGCTCGCAGCGCCGAAGTCCCTCTACGATCTGGGCGACCGTCGGTTCCTCTCCACCCGCCCCTTTCCCCAGCCAAGCGCAACTCAGGCGCGCTGGGAATCCCACGGCTCGCTGAGCTCGGGGGTCTGCAGCAGCCCCCCGCCCAGCGCCCCCAGAGCGGGGGAGAGCCGGGTCGGTCCGGGCCAAGCAAGGCTCCCGCTTCCTTCCCCACCGCGCTCGGGGGAAGGTGCTCGCCTCCCGCCGGCGGAGGGCCGGCCCGGGAGCCCCCCGCTCGCCTGGAATGGGCCCTGAAACCCGACCTCTCGGCTTCCCTCAAAAAGCCCCTTTGTCCTGTCCACCCCGCTCCCCTCCCCCCGCGCGCCCTCCGCATCCCGCGCGCCCGGACTTGGCTCCTTTTGTTTCTCCGCTTTCGGGGGCCCCCGGCACCGGGCCAGGGGATCCCCGGCAGGAGCGGTGCGGGGAGAAGGGCCGAGGGGCTGGCGACCAGCCTTTCTGGGGTCCAACTCGGAACTCCCACCGCCACCCCCAGTCCACAAGTTGCCCCGCTGTCCCGGCCGGGCCCTCTGGGCCGAGCCGGGGGACCGCGGGTTCGACAGCCCGAGCGCCCCGGTTCCCCGCGCGGGGCCCCCTTACCTGTTCCCGGGAGCCCCGGAGCCGCCCGCCCGCACCCGCGCGCCCCGGGACCTGCAGGCGGCGTCCGGCCCCGCGGCCCGGCCCGCCCCCGCCCCCCGCCCCCCGCCGCGCTGCATTTAACTTCGGCATCCGCAGCACCCCACATGCTCGAGACCCCGAGACATCTGTCCCCTGGGGCGTACCAAGGCCGGCCGCCGAGAGGGGAACGTCGCCGGCGGACGCTCGCGCTGGGGATCCGGGCGGTCGCGCAGGGCGGCGGGCCGGGGGCGAAGGTCCCCGGCTCGGGGGGTGACCGGAGCCGGGCGCCGGCTCGAGAGGCGGGGAGGCCCCCCGTGTCCCGCGCTCCGCCGCGCGCTCGCCGGGACCCTCCCCTCGGCGCGGCCAGCGTGCGCAGTGCGGGCGGGAGGAGACTCCCCGCTGGTCCGCGCGCCCCTTTCCTCCGCGCTCGGGCCTGGCCCCGGCACCTCCCATTTCTGCGGACCCGAGTGAAAGCACGAGGGTCGTTAGGGACGTTGCCCCGCCGCCGCCGCCACCGCCGCCGCAGCCAGCCCCCTCCCGCGCCTCAGGCACCTCGGGGACTGCGCGGCGGCCGGTGCCTGGGTCCAGCCGGCGTGGATTCCCCCGTTCCGGCCCGTCCTGGGCCCGAGGTTGCTGCACAGGAGGGAAAAAAAGGAGGGGATTGGGGAAGACTGCCTCCTACTGCTCACTGCGAGCCGTGCGCCTCGGCCTCTCTTCCTCCGTCACCATCCCTTCACCCATCTGTCCACCCATCCTTCTGTCTGTCCATTCATCCACATATCCGCCCACTCGTCCATTCACCCGTACATCAGCCCATCCGTTCTTTTATCCATCTGTTCATTCATCATCCGTGGTTGTTTGCATGCTGGAGGCCAGGTGTGATCTCTGGAGCGACCAGCACAGATCCTAGAGTAACCTCTGCACACTGCCCGGTGTGCCCTCCCAGACTCCATCCACCTAGTGTATCCAGTGCATCCACCCAACTGCCCTTTGTTCATCCATCCAACCAGCATCCACCCACTCATCCATCCGTCCACCCACCAACTCATCCATCCACCTACCTATATACTCCATCCACCTCCCACTCATCCGTCTTCATCCATTCACCTACCCACCTACCCCATCCACCGTTCCCTTCCCCCTCCACTCACCTCTCACTCACATGCTCTTGTTCTCTCTGGTTGGTCACAGTTGAACACCTAGAGGTGTTTCCAGTCTGCAAGTGGACCCAAATTGGCTACAGTATGTGGGGAGGTCAGGCTCGAACTATCAGGAACAGGAAGACTTACTCGGGATGCAAGGTTCAGAAGGGGCAGCACCACAGGAACCAGAACTTGGACTGCAGAACTTAAGGCAGCTTAAACGAGTACAAATATAAAAAATAAGAGCCAGTCCGCATTCGCAGCCGCACGACATCCCATGTTTCACACCACCAATATACCATGAGTAGCACACTACTTTTGATTGGGAAGGCAACCAATCTTAGGGGGAAATATATTAATACAGATACAGATATAAGCACACAAGACTCAACCTTTAACAACATGTTACGAATCTCTTATACAAGGGCTTACTGGCTCCTGGGTGAAATACAACAATCTTCACACACTTTTCTCTAAGAAACCTTTTTTGTCTCGTTGTTAGCAAATTATTCATAACAAGCAATACAAAATAAATTATTTTGGTTCTGCTTAGGGGGCAGGGTGTGGGATTCGGGATGGAAATATGGTGATGGGAAGGTGTAATGGTGGTGGCATTGGTGTTCAAACATTAAATGTAATCAAATATTGTGAACAACTTTATAAAAAAAAAGACAGGGGCCAGAGAGATAGTAGGTGGATAAGGTGCTGGTCTTGCACACAACTGACCTGGTTTTAATCCCCGGCACTCTAAGCACTGTCAGGACTGATCCCTAAGCACCGAGCCAAGAGTAAACCCTGGGCACAGTCAGGTGTGGCCCAAAAAACAACTCAAACAAATTATAACAACCTTCGGGTGGGAAGAAGGAAGAGAGATGAGGCTAATGTGGTGGGCAGGGCCCAGGAGGAAGCAGGGCGGCTCAGGGCGATTGTCCAGGTCATGCACCAGGAGAGAGGGAAGGAGAGCTCAGCCATGATCTATGTCAGCAGATCTCTGCCAGGTCCCAGTTGGCCTGACTTGTACAGAGGCACTGTCTAAAGAGCTATGTTGGTTAGTGAAGGGTTTAAGACTTTTTGTCCTGAAATGGAAGAGAAACTACTTGTGTTCAAATTCTCCAGAGAAGGAGAACCAACAGTTTTTCTGTATTTCTATTTATTTATTTATTTATTTAGAGAGAGAGAGAAAGAGAGAGAGGGAGAGAGGCAGACTGACAGAGGCAGAGAGTTTGGGGGTGCCCCCTAGCTATAATCTGCAGGGCTGCCAGGCAGGGCCGAGCTCCAGGGGGAAATTGGAGGTTGAGTCCAGAGGCATCCTGCTCCCTGCGAGGGTCCCCTGGCCACCAGTGGAGTAATTGGTGCTCATCTCATCTGAAAGTACCATCTCAAATTGTTATGTTATTGAGGTTGACTTGGTTTGGGGAGGGCCATATCTAGCAGCACTCAGGGATCACCTCGGAAGATGCTTGGGAGACCATATGCGGTTGCTGGAGATCAAACCAGGGTTGGATCCATGTGAGGCAAGAGCCTTTTAGCCCCTGTACTACCTCTCCAGCCTCTAATTGTTTGCACCAAGCATGTGGGGATGAGCCAGGGAACAGCAGAATTAACTGGAGAATTTCTGAACACAGTTACCTGCATAGACTTCAAAGATCACGTGAGTAGGGCTGGAGTGAGTACAGTGGGTCAGGCACTAGCCTTGCATCTGGCCAGCCCAGGTTGGATTCTCCCAAATGTTCCCTGATTCCACCAGTAATAGTTCCTGAAACTGAGAGCCGGAAGTAAGCTTTGAGCATTGCCAGGCGTGCCCCACCCTATAAAAAAAATGAAAAGAAAAGAAAAAGAAACTAAGAAGGTGTTTCCCCAGCCCTGAAGTAGCTCAGAGGCATGAGGAACATATCCCTTTGGAGACAGAGTAACCGAGGCACCAACCAGAGAAGGGCGGACCCCTTAGAAAAGGAGAAGTTACAGAGAAGCTAAAGGTCATAGTAGGAATAAGTAAGGAAGGCTGGAATGTTGCCTTGCACAGGGCCAACCTGGGTCTGATCCCCAGCACCCCATATTGACCTCTGAGGCCCACCAGGAGATCCCTGAACACCACAATGTGAGGAACAAGTTCTGAGCCCACCTGGGGATGGAGAGGTGACATCACTCTGATTCCACAGCCTACAACCTGGACTCAAAACTGTCCAGACCCAAAGGTGCCCAGAGACAGAGTGAGGGAATACAGGAGGAGTGAGCTCTGCCCCAGGCCAGAACGGAGCTGAGGGATGGGGACCAGGACAGATTCCTAAACTCAAGCTCTATCTTGGGATTGTGGAACTTGGCAGCTGCTCTCGGAGGTGCTCAAGGTTCAGGTCAGGGTGAGGGGGACCAAGCAGCGCTGGTGTCACTTGAACCCAGGGTCTATCCACTGTCAGGCTCTGTCTCCTCTGGAAGGGGATGGGAGGGTTGGGTTATACTCATCTCGGGGCTTACTCCTGGCTCTGTGCTCAGGGATCACTTCTGACAGGGCTCAGGGGATCCTGTGCAGTGCTGGGGATTGAACCCAAGTCAACCATGTGCCAGGGAAGCACCCTGCCGGCTCTACTATTTCTCTGGCCTCTGTCAGTATCTTAAGTAAGATTTCACAGCAAAGGTCCCACGAAGGAAGCACCTGTTTTAAAAACAAAAGCTAGAGATCTGAATGGTTCCCCGACACCTTCTGGCTTGTACATGATTCTATTAAAAGTCATCAGGAGTGAGCCATGAGTGCAGAACCTTGTACACTGCTGGGTGTGGGCCCCCCAAAAAACACCCAAGGCTGGAGAGAGGACAGCACAAGGCACTTGTCTGCATATGGTTAATGAAGCTTCCACTCCTGGCTCTGCATATGCTTCCCTGTGCACCATCCAGAGTGGTCCTTGAACCACGAGGAAGTCCAAGCACCAGCTGATCTGGGCAAAAAACCCCTGTACTCCCTGTACTCCCCCCCCCCCCCCCCCACACACACACACATAGCTAGAGAATGATCTCTGTCAGATGTGGACTTAAAGACACATAGACACAAGGGCCAAACTGATCCACACAGTTGAGTGGTTTGGGGTGGGGGTAAAAGGCAGGGTGTTGGGGTCCCTTAGGGAAGGAGGTGGGTACACTAGTGATGGGTCTGGTGTTGGAATTATGTGCATGAGAAACACCT